TCAATGCAGCCAATTATTCAAGCTCAATGGTTATATTTCAGGCCTGATTTGAAAGCCCCAAGAACTCCACTGAAAATCAGGATGGAAATAAGTTAAAAACAAGTCCTTTTAGGGTTGTCAGCACTTTCATTGTGAAGCAAATGAGGCTATTTTCCTATCACCCTCCTGAATATGGGAGTGGAAGCAAAGAAAGTTATTTATTAATAAATGGTCCATCCAAAAGAGGCCTCAGCAGACTGAACCTGAACTATTGTAGATTTCTAAAAGCAACTTCCCAAAAACATTGAACGAGTATTAAAAGGTAACATCGCAACTCAAAAGGCCGTTATAAGCAACAACTAGCTGGAGTCTAGTAAATCAATGGTGGACTGTTGATTTACTAGACTGCTACTAACAACTGCAAATGTCTAGCCACCCAATAGTCCAATTTGGCAGTACAATCAGGGATTTGAAAAAACGGCGAGTCCACCCGGAATCGCCCGGGTCAACACGGAAATCGACCACCCCGTGTTGATTCCTTTGGAATACTGGAAATCGGGCTTGTCTAGAGAGGAATCATCGTTTCTCAACAAATGCTACAGTAAATCGGGCGAGTGGACACAACACAGCTACCTACAGGTGGCCGTCGATATCCAACATCGACACGTGGCACCTCAAACCCGCGATATGCTACAGTGAATCGGGCGAGAATCGGGCAAGTGGACACAACACAGCTACCTACACGTGGCCATCGATATCCAACATAGAAACATGGCACGTCAAACCCGCCGAAATTAAATATATACTGCCTGACGGCAGCCACACGTGGCAACCTCAAACCCATTGAAATGCAGCTTCATGTAGCACCTCACCTCAAACGTCATATGGGCTGCCCCCGTGCTTTTACACCAATAGTCCTTATCACATAGTTATTTATAGAGAGGAATGTTACACTCGTCCGTCGATGTGGGACTAATATAACGTTGAGAGTTGAGATAGTAATATAATGTATATATTTATTATAGAAAGAAAAGCACCATTCGGTGATGTGGTGCAGTTGGTTATCACTACCGATTTCAACTTAAGCATCTCAAGTTCAAACCCTCTGGGCGCTATCTAGTATCTTATTTTTGTTTTCAAAAAAAATAAAAGGAAAAAAATAATGTTGTCAAAAATAAAATGAAAAGGGAAAAAGTAAAAAATAAAAAGTAATACAACAAGCATTTTTTGTCAAAAAAAGTAATACAACAACTTTTTATTTTTCTTGTCAAAAAATAAAATGAAAGGTACCTTGGCATCATCATTTTCTTATTTTTCTTATCAAAAATAAAATAAAAGGTAATACAATAAGCAAAAAAAGGTAATACAGCATCTTCTTATTTTTCTTGTCAAAAAGATAAAATAAAAGGTAATACAACAAGTACCATATTTTTCTTGTAAAAAAAAAAAAAGGTAATACAAAAAATATTTCTTGTCAAAAACAATAAAAGGTATTTCTCAATACAACAAGTATTTCTTAATACAACCTAGGAATAAATGATGCAATTATAGTTTTTATTTTTATAACATGGTGATCTTTAACATAAATTTAGGAATATTAATTTAAAGATAGGGTTCATACAATGAGGCCATTTGAAATCTCTCTCTGTACTAACAATCTCTTCCACTAAATTTATTCTAAAAACCTAAAAAATTAAATTTTTGAAAAATTAAAGTAGTTATTTCAAAAATTGGTATGCATTCTAATAATTTCTACATTGATAACCAAATCTTTTATTTTATTTATTAATTTATTTGCATTATAAATCATGTAAAGTACTATTTTTCTTACAATTGTCAATAATATATTTTAAATTAGATGATATTATAAGATATTTTGGATTTGTTATTATTTGTATAATAAAATAATTATAAAACGTAAACCAACAATTTCAATTTCAATATATAATATTATAGTTAGTTCGGTTGTAATAATTTTGGATTATAGTAAGTTAGATTGTAATAATTTGGGTTTTTTTTTGGCGGATTAAGGTTTCCCGCCAATTCGAGATTTTAGTGGCTATTTTTTCATTGATTTAATCCATTCTTTTATTGTAATCCATGTATGATTATATACGTCATCCATGATAATTCTATGATTTTTCTTTTTCGTGATGCAAATTTAATGGTTAACATAAGTACATACAGGGAAAGAGCATCTCAATATTCGTAAATTGTTGAAAAAAATGAAAGTTAATAATGTAGTACCCACATTTCTTATTGGATTCCTAAAAAGCAACATTTATAATGAATTTTAATAAATTTTTTGGATTTTTTTTAATACTTAATTCGACTGATTCAGCCGATTCCTGATCCGGATCGCCGATTCACCTATCGGGATGGGTTTTTGAGATGCCCGATCCGGGGCACCGATCCATTTTTTAAACCACTGAGTACAATAGATATTGACATTAGCATGACATCATGAAAACATCATCATAACAGCATGACATCATGAAAACATCATCATAACAACAACTCCATATGTACTGTTCTTGAAATCTCGACTTAAGTCTATAATTTAGGACCATAGACAATTAATTAGATAGCTTGTCCAAGCTAGACAATAAGTTATAGTTTGCTTATATGAAAACTTTGGTTGTTCTAATGTATTATATAACAAACAAAGTGTTGGATGGGAATGGAAGTACGAAAGTTTTATAGGAGCATATGTGATGATGATTAGACGACTAAGGAATTTAAAAAAGTACAGACTACAGAACTGTTGCAAAATCCATGTAGGAGGGTCATGCTTTGGCTACTTATATTTGAACGGAATCTGGAAATTGCGTATTGTTTCTCTAGCCATAACAATGAGTCTCATGGTGAGTTTTGGCAAGACATTGCCGGGGCCTTCAGACTTGCTCGACTACTTTTGAGGACTTGATTTATTATTACATTCAGATTTTAATTCCAAAAAGTGTGAGTGCAGACTTCAGATCCTTCCCCCACAATAAGTCTCATTGTTAATTTTGGTGAGCCAGCACAAGGATGCGGGATACATACCAAAGATCGATGATATGTCTAAACGGAACTTAAAGGGGCTAGCTTCATGGCCATGATTATGGCATCCAATGAAAGCACTACTAATAATCAAGGATAAGAGTCGGATTGACATGCAAACTTAGACCATAGTAGTCACAATTTGGAGGGGACTCTTCGCTAATTGTTGGAGGCTTGAAGGGATAAGAATAAAGAAAAATATCAATACAGAGACACAAATTTAGGGTGTTGCTATGGGACTCTTGGCTAGTTGTTGGAGGCTTGAAGGGATATGCATAAAGAAAAATACAAATACGAAGACACATGAATTTAGGGTGCTGCTATTAGTCTATTACACAATAACAACTAGACAGCATGCAATACATGGAAATGAATGACATCACAAATGAGGTAGCTCGATATGCAAAGGGAAATCAACATAGGAAGTGGTAGGTAGGAAGTGGTAGGTTAGAAATGCCCTTATGATCATAGAGAAACATAATCGAGGATGAGACTTGCTAAAACCAATACCCAAGAAACCAATGTGTGTGCTTCATTCTTGGTGGCACAAAAAGTAGAACAATGAATTATATGAAATATACCTCCAAAGGCAAGTATGATCCAATATACAAAGTATAACAATAGCCAATATTTTCCATATAGACTTCAGCTGATGCATCATCAAAAAATTTAATGATCTTTCTAGAAAATGTTGATTTCACCCCATCCAATCTCTTAATGAGATTCATGCCAAAATCTGACCCATTCATATTCTTTGATATAATCTCATGTACTCTTGAGTTTTAGGAAAATTGAGAGAAAAAATGGCTATAATATAGCGCGATATTAGCCTACTTTTATGATTATTGGTTTTCTTTTTGTGGTTTATATATGTATTTAGGGAAGCCTCCATATCACTCTAAATCTAAGCGATCAATTTCGCTTTGTTCTTTAGTATTATCTTCTTCTTTAGTTCATGTCTCAAGAACCAAATTTCAATACAAATGTTGCCCTTTATTTCTATGAGAGAACATGATCGTAAGTGAATGGATTCTCTTAGCTTTGGGTTGTGTTTCATACATGGTGTTTATGTTCATCTCAAAATATTAAACCTAATTCTATAATGATCTCAAAGTCGGTTTTTGGTGTGACTATGGCTACACTATTAACTGGTTTGGTGGCACTTCAAAAATCTTTTTTTTTTTCCATTGCTTGGATCCAAAATTGGTGAAGAACATATGCAGTTCCTAATACTTCAAATCTGATCAAGCTATTGTCCATTGTCCAATAACTAAATGCTGTAAGAGTTCTGGTGAGACCAATGCTAATACAATACATTTGCCTTCACGTTATTCACAAATAAGTTAAAATCAGGACATTTAACGATGTGGCATGGCCAAGAAGCTAATACTTTTTCAATTTGTAATGAATTTATATGAGAGTTTCATGCTTAGTTTTGCAACATGCTCTTCAATTTATAAAACAATGCTTCCTATGGTCACTCATAGATTAAAAAAACACTTAGAAGTTTCAAAATTGACAAATAAATGTTGAGAAACTTATGTGACTCTGGGTTGGGGTTTCCCAACAATAAATGAAAATGTGAGATGGAAAGTCAAAGACCAATTTGACTACTATATTTCTTTTAAAAGGAAAAGGTCTGTGATGATTAAGGATCAAGCTCCACATTTGTCCATGAGAAAAGATAACATTTTCTAATGGTCATGCCAGTTGCCATTTAATTGCTATAATAACTTTAGAAGTCCAGGACTATAATTTTGTATGGTGAAATATTAGGAGATAAACATGTACATAACATTTTGTCCTTGATTCCATAAATCACAGAGTTTACCCCTCACAAACGAACCGAAGAATATACTTGTAATCCAAACGTAAAGAAGAGAAACAACATCATAAATGAACAAAGTTATGAGACAGATCCAATTGCTTGTCTAACATTGACCACAATTATAAAAGAATGGTGAAGAGGGAGACAATACTGTAGATATATGCAGCCTCCCCTTATGCCGGTCGCGTCGATATGTAAAAGGCCTTCTGGGCTTCACCTCAACTCCTATGTCATCCAAGGAAAAAAAGAACAAAGTAAAAAAAAAGGAAAGAAAGAAAAATCAGTGAAAACAATTACTCAAGACTCACGAGGAAAAAATCGAGTGATTAAAATTTTGCTAAAAGTTCAAAAACAATTGCATAAAAGTTTAAACAATTGACTCGTCAAATATCAGAAAATCACTGTCAATAGTCAATCAAATGTCTAGAAAGTTATAGCAACAGTATAACAGTTCTTGTTATTTTTTTTCTTGAGAAAACAGTAAAATGAAAAAACAATAGATATTTATTTCTTCTTAATAAAAACCTGACACCAATCACTCTCACGGCCAAAAAATTGAAAACGCCTCTCTTTCTATTGTCAAACATACTAGCAAGTATTTCTAAACAATATTCTATTTGTCTTCGAGAAGAAGCAACTTTACGCCATAGTTATCATTGGTTCTGTTTTCCCCTTTGTATATTTCTGGAGGAATTTTCAGTAAAAATAGCGCAGGTTAGAGGTGGAACTCATCGATATATAATCAAGAACAAACACTGGTACGAAGAACTTCTGAGAAGGTCGAATAACAAGTAACGTCCCCAAATTTTGTGGGTTTAAATTTTTAAATAAAAATGATTCAATAAAAAAATAACAGAGATGTTCCCTTTATTTTCTCTCACTTCAAACACTTATGAGATCACCATTAAAATCCAAATACAAAATACCAAAGGAAGAGGATCATGATTATGAACAAAGATTTGCAACAAAAAAAAAGAGAAATAAAAGAAAAAATTAAGTAAAGAAGAAAAAAAAGAGCCTCCCACCCCAGAACGCCATACTTCTGTCTGCGTCCCTCGCCTTCCCTGCCTTCTCTCTCTCTGCGAAACGGAGTCAGAAGAAAGGGAACGAGAGAGAGAGAGAGAGAGAGAGAGAGAGA